CTCAGCTGGCAACCTTCCCTGGCACGCCTTCCAGTTGTCTTAATGAATGAATGAATGAATGAATGAATGAAAGACCTTTATTGTACGTTTGTGCTCTAACAAGCTAAGTACAGGTCATGAGTAGACAAAGAAAAGGATACAGCAATGATATACATACTAATGTGATCTACTATTTACATTGTTCAACTTCTTCTCGCTTCTTGACGCAGTTATAGATGTACGAGCATCTAGAACTAATTAATTCGGACCAGACGTATGTACCCAGAATTTAACTCTATGTATATCATATATATCTATATCTAATAGAAAACTACGACATTCTGCTCTACATGCACTCCTGGAGAGACGAGTATCGAGTGAGGCAACTTTATTTTACTTGGTGGTCGCCATATTTTTATTTGTCAGGACGTTCAACATGACATCAAAGACTTATCGTGTGACAACGTTTCCAGCTTCGTACACACAGTTTCATGGAGTGAATATAGCCATGATAAGTTTCAAGGTTCAGGGGATGGATTTGTTTATTTCAGCAGTTTAGTGGGTATAATGAGAGACCTGAGTGGTCTTGGACTGCCGAGGGCGGATGGATACATGACGTATCTATCAGCTGTCAAATGAGCTGGAAAAAATCCAAAAACTCTGTTGCAAAATCATCGGCACTGAGCACCAGCAACTACACACGCTAGAGTTTAGGCGACATGAAGCGTCTCTACGCGAGCTGCAGCGAATCCTGAAAGACACCACACATCCCTGTAGACTGTTCCTGCCTCCAGTGGTTCAGACACCCTACAACCTACGCCGCCGTACGGGAACTGAAACCACCACTCAGCAGATGAAATAGACACAAAACTCTTTCATACCCAGAACTCCTTTCGTTACAATTTTAAAGCCCGCGAAATCTTTGTGCTTGTGTTGTATATTTAATGTTGAGAGATTTTAACAATATCGGAAACTCGATGTCTTTTTAAACTAATGGTATTTTAAATGTAATGTTTTTTATGAATGAAATGTAAAATCAACCCAATTTAGTCTTGTCAAAGACTACAAAGTTGATTGTTTAATAAAGTTTACAAGTTTACAAGAGAGAAGAGGTCGATGACCTTCGTCATGTATGAGTCTGGGTTGTCAGAAATGTGCTGCTGTATATAGTCTGGCTTTTATTTTGCTGGTTCGTGAACCAAAGGATATGTGATTCTTTAGTCGTAGTACAGAAACATACGTTACACGTGTACGGAAATTTTCCGACATACATGTAGTCAGCTAGTATCCACTAGATGAAACGTATCGTATTAGCTGGATGTCTAACCTTCATCGCCGTATCACAACATCCATTTGTCACTAAAACAACTTTGAAAAAGGAAAGTTTTTAATCAATCATTTTACAGATGGTTTTGATTCAGTGGGAACATATAAAAGGAATAAAATACATCACTGCATGAAATTTAAAAGTCAAAACAATAAATCAGAGCCCTGTCTTGTCTCCTCTCTTCATATTTATCTGCCATACACATTCCAGCATGGCAAGGCATGCCATTTTGCCCATTTTCGGCATGTTGACCACTGTCAAAGGTCAACCATTTTTTTCCCAAAATCAGGCAAAAATCAATGCGCGAACTGATGTCATCCATAAAAATTACTTGCTGTGGCCTTACAGTAACTGTACCCATAATGATAACAGTGGACTCAGATAGTTTTAAGATCTCCAACTTTATTCTTACTCAAATCAAAAAATATTCTGAAATCTTCAAGATAACCGTTGCTATCATATCCTTGTCGGCTTCAGAAAGAGGAGCTATCTTACATATGCACATCAACTTGATGTAGAAACTGCAATATACATGTATATCCTTGCAATATACCTGATCGCTCGCAAAGAGAAGCACTAGAGTAGAAATCCTGAATACACGCGGACCATTTCTGTGAACGGTTTCTCCTCTAGTCTTACA